GGAGACATCAGAGGCAGGCTCCAGGCTCTGAGCTGTCAGTACAGAGCCCGATGTGGGGCCTAAACCAATGAATCATGAGATCATGATCTGAGCCAAAGTCAGGTGCTTAACCAACTGAGCCACCCAGGCGACCCTTGTCTTTTATATGTTTTATTTATTTTTTGAGAGAGAGAGAAAGCACAAGCAAGGGAGGAGAAAAGAGAGAGGGAGACATCAGAGGCAGGCTCCAGGCTCTGAGCTGTCAGTACAGAGCCCGATGTGGGGCCTAAACCAATGAATCATGAGATCATGATCTGAGCCAAAGTCAGGTGCTTAACCAACTGAGCCACCCAGATGCCCCTAAAATTTTGCTTTATTTTAATTGTACACTTTATTCATTTAATTTTATATTTAATTTAATTTTACATCTTATTTTTAAAAAAATTTTAATGTTTTTTATTTATTTCTGAGAGAGACAGAGAGAGAGAGACAGAGTGAGCAGGAGAGAGTCAGAGAGAGAGGGAGACAGAGAATCTGAAACAGGCTCCAGGCTCTGTGCTGACAGCCTGTCTGGGCTGAAACCCACCGTGAGATCATGACCTGAGCCAAAGTCAGACACTTAACCGACTGAGTCACCCAGGCGCCCCTAATTTTACATCTTATTGTATATTTTATATTTTATTTACTTACATTGTCTGGGTACAGTGTACTGTATTAATTGCACAGGACAAGGTAGCGCTCCCTAAGCCCTCTCCCCTGCCCCAAGGGGGCCTGGGAGGGACATTGTCAAGGACGGGAAATACTGTATTGGGTGACTGAATTGGGGCCGGGACTTCCCAGCAGCTGAGGTCCTCTCTCTTCCTTTTGAGCCCTTGCTGGTGCCAGAAGTCCAGGGCTTTTATGCCTTAGAGGCCACACTGCAGTCAAATTCACTGTCATACCAGGAAATGAGCTTAATGTGGTGCCAGAACCAGCAACAGAGATCGAAGACTAGGTGTCCCTATTACAGATGCAGAAAAATCCGTGTTGCCCAGGATGCCCTGTAGGGGCCCTCTGATGCTGACTTCACCACCTTCTTGATGCCACCATATTGAACAGCTTCAGAAGGACCCACGTTGGCTGTAGGGACACAGAAGGTCATGAGCTGAAGCTTAGGGATGACCTTGCCAACAGCCTTGACTGTGCCAGTAGAAGCCGGGCTCATTAGGCCCCAGCTCCCCAGAGGGGCTGTCCATGGTCTTCTGACTGTAAGTCCTTCCACGATGACAGAATTGTCATGGGTGACCTTGGCCTGCAGGGGCCAAGGAGTTGGTGGTAAGGGAGACATTGCCGACAACCTTCAGGGAGCTGTCCTCATTCTCATGGCTCACGCCCATCGCAAAACACGAGGCGTGTCAGCAGATAGGACAGAGATAATGACCCTCTCAGCTCCACTCTTTAAGTGAGCGCCAGCCTTCTCCAGAGCAGTGAGGACACTGGCAGACCCCACAGTTTATTCAGCACAGGGTTCACCCCATATGATGCTCTTGATCCTGGAAGATGGACATGAGCTTCTGGCTGATGACAAGCCTTGACTGTGCCATTGAGCATGCCATGAGTGGAATCCTATTGCAACACCACGTAGTTGAGGTAATTGAAGGGGTCATCGGTGGTGACAATATCCATCTTACCAGAGTTAAAAGCAGATCTGGTGATCAGTGCCCAAGTACAGTTAAATCCATTTACTCTGACCTTCACCATGGTGTGAAAGTCATACATCTCATAGATGCCACTGGCACCACCCAAGAAGATTTGGCCGCCTGTCACCTGGGAGGAGCAGAGGATCTAAACTTTTTAAAATTAAATGGTTTCAGAAATTGCACCTGAGTCTGAAAAAGCATACCTCAAGGATAAGCCTAAAGCTTCAGGGAGAGACTGGAAGACGTTAATGAATCTGAGTTAGTAGTGTTTTTCAACCATGGCTCTATCTTGTCATCCCAGGCTGAAGTTTTTAAAAATGCCCAGGGCTCCACCCCAGGGTCCGGTCAATTAACTCAAATCTCTGCAGGCGGGGCCTAAGCATAAAGATTTGCATGCAATCCTCAGATGGTTCTGACACATAGGCAGGGTTGGAAGTTGTTAGCTCAGTCACCATCTTTAGAAGGATGGGAGTTGATGTCACCAGGAATTCACCTTGGAGCCTCACCCGCTAGCCAACACTCATTGCCTACCTAGAGGACCAGTCCCAGGAAAGGATGCTGACCAGTACTCCCCCAAATAACTGGGATTAATTTTTTTTTTAAATATTTTTTTATTTCTAGGAAAGAGAGAGAGACAGCGTGAGCAGGGGAGGGTCAGAGAGAGAGGGAGACACAGACTCTGAAACAGGCTCCAGGCTCTGAACTGGCAGTCAGCACAGAGCCCGACGCGGGGCTCGAACCCACGAACTGCGAGATCATGACCTAAGCAAAAGTCGGACGCTTAACCGACTAAGCCACCCAGGCGCCCCAGGATTAATTTTTTTTTAAATATTTTTTTATTTCTAGGAAAGAGAGAGGGAGACAGCATGAGCAGGGGAGGGTCAGAGAGAGAGGGAGATACAGAGTCTGAAATAGGCTCCAGGTTCTGAACTGGCAGTCAGCACAGAGCCTGATGTGGGGCTCGAACCCACGAACTGCGAGATCATGATCTAAGCGAAAGTCGGACGCTTAACCAACTAAGCCACCCAGGTGCCCCACTGGGATTAATTTCTTATCAGTGTCTGGGTCAGTCTCTCTAATCTTATTATAGCTCTCAAATCGTTTATACTCTGAGGCAATCTCCTGTTCACCTTCACCTGTAAACCACTTCCCCAAGCCTGCTGGAATCAACGGAATGACATCAACTATACCACTGGTGTTTTCAACTATCTCCTCTGACTAATCTTTCACACTTTTGCTCTGAAATTACTGAAGGCTTGGTTTTCCCTCCAAAGTGAGTAGACAGTATTTATCCATCGCCATTCACATCCCACCGAAGGCTGCAATAAGTTTTACTGCTCTTTGGGACTGAAATCTGACTACCGTTCATCCTACATCTTCAAACAGCCAGTGAATTTGAAAGATGTGCTATTAGACTGCACTGTCTGGTGCCTTAGCCCAGTAGGGGCTCTTGACTGGGGTAAATTTTACCCTTCAGCAGACCTTTGTCAGTATCTGGAGACATTTTTGGTTGTGACAACCAGGGAGAGGAAGATTCTACTGCCATCTGGTGGGTTGGAGGCTAAACATCCCACACTGCACAGTACAGCCCCCACAGCAAAGAATCCTCAGGCCCAAAGGTCAGTAATAACAAGCAGAGAAACTCTGTCTTAGACAGTATCAACTGCTGCACCTCCTTAGTGAGGCTCTTGACCCCCATCTTGATGACCTTTTTATAGACTGAACACTGTAATGGTCTTCCACCAGTCACGTGGCTTCTCTCACTTCTTACAAATCTCTGCTAAGATATCACCGCCTTGAAATAAAAATACACACAACACCCTCTCCATCCCCAAACCAAAAGAAGTAAGTGCTGTCCTAAGCATCCTGTCTTAAGAAGCATCCATCAGTCTTCATCCATTTATACTGCCTCGTTTTTCTGTAGCATATTTATTGCTTCTTGATATTAAATTTTTATTTTTTTTAATGTTTATCTGTTTTTGAGTGGAAGAGACAAAGTGGGAGCGGGGAAGGGGCAGAGAGAGGAGGAGACACAGAATCTGAAGCAGGCTCCAGGCTCTGAGCTGTCAGCACAGAGCCCGATGCAGGGCTTGAACTCACAGACCATGAGATCACGACCTCAGCCGAGGTCAATGCTTAACCAACTGAGCCACCCAGGCTCCCCTTTACATTAAATTTTATATCTCTTTATCACATGGCCATTTACTGGAATGTAGGTAGTATCTTTGAAATTGGTCTTTTTTGTTCCCCACTGAAGCCACCCATTTATTCAACAAATATTAACTGGCTGACTCTACCGGTCACTGTTGTAGACACCAGAGATAGAGAACACACAGACAAACCCACATGAGTTTATAGTTTAAGGAGATCGCATCATATTTGAAGGGGGAATGCAGCTAAAGTACTGGAATGTTCTAAGCTAATTCAAGTTGTCAGTTAACTCATCCGTGAGCTTTTCAGTAACAGATTCAGCTCCTTAGGTCAAGTATCTGGAGGACTCATTGTCCTTATGGAGGCTTTTCTTTTCTTTTTTTTTCCCCCCTGGCAGGGCACTCTACTTATAAGTTAATAAACCTGCAGAAATTTGGAGCATTTAAGTGGCTCAGTTGGTTAAGCATCTGACTCTTGATCTCAGCTCAGGTCTTGATCTCAGGGCCTTGAGTTCTAAGGCCTACGTTGGGCTCCATAGGAGCCTACTAAAAACAAACATACAGAAATTCATATTTTTAACGTTTATTTTCTTTTTGAGAGAGAGAGACAGCGCGACCAGGGGAGGGTCAGAGAGAGAGGAAGACACAGAATCTGAAGCAGGCTCCAGGCTCTGAGCTAGCTGTCAGCACAGAACCTCGTGTGGGGCTCAAACTTAACGAACTGTGGGATAATGATCTGAGCCGAAGTTAAGAGTTGGATGTTGGAAATTGAGTTGCTCAACCAGCTGAGCCACCCAGGTGCCCCAACAGAAGGATAGCTCCTGATACATATGCTAGGTTCTAAACTTCCCCAAATAATTGGTACCCAAAAGAGCACTTAGGATGGCTCCATTAGAAAAGTCTTGCCCAACTCATTTCTAGGGTGAGGTAAAGTCAGCTGGTTTTGGGTGTACTCAGAGCAAGACTAGGTCCGGCAATCTGTCCCGGATGGTGGCACAAGGCTCTTGCTGCTCCTGTCCCAGCAGGTCCAGCCACGTGGAGTGGTATCTGTGGTAGTGAGGACACTCCAGGGAGTGTTTGACACACATCGGTTACGGAATGTTCACAGAAGGATTCTAGGGTTCCGAAGCAAGGCTGTCCCTTCCGTTGCAGAACTCCTCACTCCTGGCATGAATCGCGGCTGAATCCTAGTCAATCCTGAACGCCTCTGAGCGTGGGACATCAAGGCTCCACATAGCCGGAAATGCCCATCATGATCTGGGTGCAGTTAGACCCTCTGAGTATCGGGTCCCGAATTGGATGGGTGTGGCAGCCGTTACTTGTACTGTGGAAGAGGCTCGTTGAGGAATTGAGCTGAGAAGGTCCAAAATTTTGGCACAGGTAAGTTACACGTGAAGAATTGGCATCAGGTCCCGGTATTTCAAACCCAGTTACATTGTTGCTTCTTCTTGACCTCACACTATGGTCTCATGGGGTTTCCCTCTGAGCAGCTGAGCGAGGAGGAAACTCCAACCTGACTCAAGGTGGGCCATGTGCCCCTAAAGATGCCCACTGACACCTCTCTGCCTTTCTCGAGGTGGCCCTGCAGTCATGGCGATAGGGAATTATCCCAGCGGCCAGAGCTATGAGCGGTACCCATGGCCTCCCACTTTGAATGGACAGAGCCGTGGCCTGAAACCAGGTTAAATATGCACTTGTAGGAAGTGGAATGTGGCCCAGCCTATTGGTCAGGGAAGGAAAGAAGGTTGGAAGACGGACATCTAAGTGGTCTGTGGACATGGTAGGTCAACGACCTGTGAAGAGGCACACAACACGTGTAGAACGTTGCGTCTCGTGTTAATGACCTCCAGGGAGCGTTTGCCAGAGAGAAGTCCCTCAACACCCAGGTGGAGAGGATGCTGTATGTAGTGGATATGCTATAGTAATGAGCGCTGGTGATGGGAACCTCCTCAGACTGGGGGGGTTCATTTTGTGCTGAAATGGGTCTTCAGCATGTGTATGACTACGCAAACCCCTGTTCACATCATATATTGCATTGTACAGAAGGAGCTGCCACAGCGCGATGACACAGTGGCCTGGAAACAGCTCAGCTCAGGTTGTCAGCTCAGGGACAACAGCCTGTGGGAGTGGGGTGTTGTCCTGAAACATGTAATATGTGCGTTCAACTAACAACAGTCAGTATAAGGTGCTGTGTCCCTGATAGAGTGCACAAGTCTAGCCCTCGGGGTGAAAAGAGAGTTGGTTTTTATCCCTCCCATTTCTAGGGACTCACTTGAAGGATTTGTGCTTCCTGTTCCCCCCCAAACTTAGGACCTATTCGATGAGGTGTCTTCATTTTCACAAGGGTGACACTTCCATCAGGAACCAGGAGGAGTTCCTGGGTGGTTACGGTGGCCTTTCCGTGCTGATGAACCAATGGGCAGAGAAATGAGTTGGTTCACGGGCGTGGATACCGCACCGTGATGACTACCGGGGGCTGGGGGCACTGCCACGTAATGAGGTGGGGAACGCATGTGTCTGGGACCCAGAGGATGCCCTGTGCCCTGCAGTCATGGGTGAAAAGGAACCTGCAACCCAATAAAAGCAAAGTCGCGGAGCTAACTCTAAGGGATGGTGAAAGACTCCATGAATCAGAGATTTTTGACACCTGGCATCAAACTTTCAGTCATTCCAAGGATACAGATAATTGCAAAACACAGGCAGAGCAGAGGGAACGTCTGAGGCAGCCAACACAGCCGCTTGGGCCCTTCCTTGTCACCCTGGAACGACCCTTGGCCCTGATTTAAGATTCGAGGTCCTTATTTAAGTGATGTATATTGGGGCCTCACATACACAAAGGCATTACTTTGATCAATGACTTCTCCTCCCCACCCCTCGAATTCTCTGATGATTAAATAGCAGACTTGTTTTCCAATGGCCCCTGCCCTGTAAACCCATAAATCTCAGGTTTGTTTACTATAAGCCAGCTAGAAAGAGCAGGTATGTCCTATTAAAAGCATTTCATAGATAAGGAGTCTAGTTTGGTTTCCTCTAACACCCCAAGGAGGAGATCTGATTAGCTTGTTCATAAGTCAGGATAGGAAGAGTGGATTATAGACCAGTTGCTAACTCCTTGCTTCCTAGCAGTGCATGATTCAGACCTCTCAGAAACAAGGGCCTGGATCACCCTACTGGACAAATGACTTAGACGACATATGGTGCTGACCCACCACAGGAATCTGGAAGGTGTTGGGTGGAAAAGAAAGATGAGTCATAGAAGTGGTCTTGGGTCCGGGGTGCAGTGGGGACCGTGGCTGGTTCCACCAGCCATGTTCACATCAGAGTTTTGTATATGGTGGCGGGATCCTTGAAGACTCAATGACTGGGTGGACTCCATGTGGAAGTGAGTATCTGAGAAGGTGCAAGGGTTGTGCCTTAGCAAAAGTCAACCTTATATCCCCTTGGTGCACCTCCAACATCAGTCTGGGCTTCAGTGGTCTTGTGCAAACACGGACTCCCCTTATTCTGCCATAGTCTTATCTCAGCCATAGACCACTCATCCTTCTGTATTCATCCCTAGGGTCTTTTCTGATGCTCTTTACCCATAAAAAATAATGGCCCACGGGGGACCTAGGTGGCTCCATCAGTTAGGCATCCGGACTCTTGATTTGATTTCAGTTCAGGTCATGATCTCAGTGAGTTTGAGCCCCACACTGGGACTCACTTCGGACTCATTTCTTTCTCCTCAGTTGCTCACATGCCTCTGAATTCTTACACTTACATTCAAAATAATTCCTGGGCAGGGGCACCTGGGTGGCTCACTTGGTTAAGTGTTGGACTTCAGCTCAGGTCATGATGTCACTGTTCCTGAGTTCGAGACCTGGATCCACATCCGGCTCTCTGCTGTCATCACAGAGCCTACTTAGGATCCTCTGTCCCTCTTCTCTTTCTGCATCTCCCTCACTCTCTCTCTCTTTCAAAAATAAAGATTAAGAAAAATTCAGATCAGGGGTTCCAGGGTGACTCAGTCGGTTGAGCGTCTGACTTCGGCTCAGGTCATGATCTCACTGCAAGTGGGTTCCAGCCCTGCGTCTATCTATGCTCACAGTTTGGAGCCTGGAGCCTGCCTCGGATTCTCTTTCTCTGTCTCTCTGTCTCTCTGTCTCTCCCTCCCTCCCTCTCTCCCCGGCTCATGCTCTGTCTCTCTCTCTCTAAAAAATAAACATTAAAATTTTTAAAAAATCAGATCAACAGAACAAATAAAATGGCCCATTACCACACTTTATGGCATAACAAATGGATCTTGATTCTCTCCTCACACACATATCAAATACAAATGATTCACCAACCTCAAATCAGAAGGCACAACAGTATGTTTTTAGAAGACAACACACAAGGACGTTTTTGCGATCTAGGAGTAAGCTAAGATTTACTAAAAAGGCCAAAAAAGTCTTCACAGTGAAGATACATAAATTAGACTATATATTAAGGACCGCAGTTCTTTAAAAAAAAAAAAAAAAAAAAAGCCAAACACCGTTGAGAAAGGGGAAAGGCAGCTCCCCTGCGTGGGGAAGGATACAGGCAAGGGCACATGAAGAGCTCTTGCAAATTACTACGAAAAGAGACAATTCAGTACAAAAATGCGCCAAAGACGACAGAGAAAAACAAGAGGGAGTGACATCGGCAACACAGCAGCGAAAGAAATGCCTCCTTTTTACCCCCCATTAACAAGTTGGACACCCACCCAGGCGCGAAGGCGCCTCGGCTGGTGCTGCGGGGTCCTGCGGGGTCCTGCGGGGTCCTGCGGGGTCCTGCGGGGTCCTGCGGGGTCCTGCGGGGTCCTGCGGGGTCCTGCGGGGTCCGGGAGCAGGCCCGCGCACTGCGCATCGGGTGCCGGCCAGTCTCGGGAAGCCAGGAGAGTGCACACCTGGGCAGTGTCGCCACCCGCGAGAACCGCACGAGCGCAGGCTACCTGGAGAGACCAGGCAGCAGCGCCCTCGCGCCCCGGGAACGCGGAGCGGCGCGGGGGTGCCCGGCCCCTCCGAGCGCAGGGTGCCAAGGCGCGCGGTGGGACCTCCCCGACCCGGGGAGGAGGGATCCTGGGAGAGGGCACATACAGATTGCTGGGGCTTGGGCAGGCGGAGCCCCAGCGCCGACCCCAAACCTCCCCGCCCTGCGCGTCTGCGAGCGCGCAGCGGCCCGTCCCGCGGACCCGGAGCGCGCGCCCGGCACCGGCCGCGCAGCTGGAGCCACCGCGCCACCTTCCGGAGGAAGAGAACGCTTTCCTGGACGCGGCCGGCTGAGTCCTTCAGGAATCGCAGCAACGCGTTTTAACTGGGCCGCAGGTCAGATCAAGAGTGGGGGGCAGGTGCGTTCATACAAAGTCAGAAGACCCCAGACGGTAAAAGTGCCATGGAACAGAATGCCCCGTCCGAAGGTATCTCACGCAGATTAAAAAAAGAAAAAAAAAATTAGATTTTTTTTTTTAGATTTTTTAAAGAGACATTTAGAGAGATTTATTTTAGAGAGAGAGAGAGACAGAGCACGAGTAGGGAGGGGCAGAGAGAAAGAGGGAGACACAGAATCCGAAGCAGGCTCCAGGCTCTGAGGTGTCAGCACAGAGCCCCCCGTGGGGCTCGAACTTGTGAACTGTGAGATCATGACGTGAGCCACAGTCGGACACTTAACCGACTGAGCCACCCAGGCGTTCAAACCATATTTTAGTTGTACGTTGTAGAACCAATCTCCAGAACTCTTTTCATCTTGCAAGGTGAAACTCTGTCCCCATTAAACACCTGCTCCTCCCCCTCCCTCTAGCCCATGGCCACCCCATTCTACTTTCTGTCTCCATGAATGTGATGACTCTTGGTACTTCATACAAGTGGAATCATACATCTGTCTTTTTGTGATTGGCATACTTCAGTTACCATAATGTCTTCAAGATTCATCTGTGTTGCAGCATGTACTGAAATTTCCTGTCTTTTAAAGGTTGAATAATATTTCTTTGGGGGGGCGCCTGGCTGGCTCTGTTGGTTGAGTGTTGGACTCTTGATTCAGGCTCAGGTCATGATCCAAGGGTCATGGGATCCAGCCCCGAGTCCAGCTCTGTGCTGAAAGTGGAGCCTGCTTAAGATGTCTCTCTCTCTGTCTCTCTGCCCCCTCCCCTGTTCTCTCTCTCTAAAAATTAAAAAAATATATATATTTTAAAGTAATCTCCACCCAGTGTGAGACTTCAACCTTCAAACCCGCGATCAAGAGTGGCAGGCTTTTAGGGACTGGATGGGTCGGTTAGGTGTCTGACTTCGGCTCAGGTCATGACCTCATGGGCCACCAATCTCCACAACTCTTGATATGTGGGGGTTGGGGCCCCACGTCGGACTCTGTCCTGGCAGCTCGGAGCCTGGACGGAGCTTGCTTAAGATTCAGTGTCTCCCTCTCTCTCTGCCCCTCCCCCACTTGCACTCTCTCTCTCAAAAGTAAAATAAACATTAAAAAAAAAAAAAAGAGTGGCAGGCTCAGCGGACTGAGCCAGCCAGGCACCTAGAACACACAACTCTTGATCTCAGGGTTGTGAGTTCAAGCCCACATTGGGCAAAGAGCTAACATTAAAACAAAAACGAATAAAAACCCGGTATGTATGTACCACATTGTTTATCCCTTCCTCATGGATGGGCATTTAGGTTCATTCTACCTTTCGGCTCTTGTGAATAATGCTATGAACAGGGGTATACAAATATCTCTTTGAGACCCTACTTTTTAAATAAAGTTTATTTTGAGAGAGAGAGGGCGTGCACACCTGTGCACGCAAATTGGGAGGCACAGAGAGAGAGGGAGAGAGTCCCAGGCAGGCTTTTCAATATCAATGCAGAGCCCGACGTGGGGCTCGAACCCACGAACCCTGAGATCATGATCTGAGCCGAAGTCGGACGTTTAACCGACTGAGCCACCCAGGTGCCTCTGAGACTCCACTTCCAATTCTTTTGGACGTATATGCCCAAAGGTGGAGTTGCTATATCATATGGTAGTTCTGCTTTTATTTAATTTTTTGAGGAATAGCACCTTATCTGCAGTAGAGGGACCATCTCACGTTCCTCCTAACGGGACCCAAGGGTTCATCTGCAGCATCAGGGGAAGACGTAGAAGGTGACCGCTCAGTGGCAGACAGGTAGCAGTGGCCCCAAGATTCTTCCAACCTGGGGCCTGGCTATTGGATCCCTGCTCTCTCCAACACGCTAAACTTACACTTTCGCCCTCAGCCTTGCCCTGCAGAGCAGCTCACTGAGGAAACATTCTGCGCCTCAACGGAGCAGGCAAGTGGAGGGAGACAGTTAGTCTGCCCCCCTCTCTCCAGGTGACTGGGAGGGCACTCTGGTTTCAGGCCCTGGCTGAGCCAGGCTAGTCTCTCCCTCCCTGCAAATTCTGTCTCATTCTGCCCCAGCTCAAAATTCCAGTTCCATTTTGCTCTGCAGGCAGATGACACAGCGCCATCAGGTCTTGGCATAGACATGTGTGGAGGATGAGCCACGTCCCTGGTCGCCACAGCCTGCAAAGTGAGCGTCGCTTCCCACATAACCAGGGCGGGAGGGAATGACGATGATAATGACTATCTTCCCTGTTTTATGGAGGGGAGGGCAGAGAGTGGCGTGTAGCTTGTGCGAAATCCGACCGGGCTCGTGTGTGAATCTGGATGATTCGGCCTCAAAGGTCAGGGCTCTCGTCCCTCCGCTTATATGGAGGAAGCGGAGGGCCAGGCTGGCCTGAAAGCTTTCACTTACCTTCCTGGTAACTTTGAGCTGTGTTAAAAGTCTTACTTAAGTTTCAGGAAACGTTTCAGGCCCGGGGATGGTTGCCTGGGCAAGTCAACCCAAGGTGTTCAGTCCCCGCTGCTCCAGGGATTTGGTTCTGGCCACGACTCCCAGGGCCATGGCGGATGGACGCTCTCGATGGCTTTCTTTTGTCTTCTCCCCAGATCTTGGCCTCCTCCCCATCGACTCCTGAACTCCTGCCTGGATGCTGTGTGAGCAGGTCCGCCAGTTTGGGAGGAAGCTGGTGCGGAGGCGGCCCCTGGTGCCCAGCACGGGGGCTGGGAGCCGCCTGGCCCGTTGCCTGGACACCCTAGATCTGGTGGCCCTGGGCGTGGGCAGCACCCTGGGAGCAGGCGTGTATGTCCTGGCTGGCGAGGTGGCCAAGGACAAAGCTGGGCCCGCGATCATCATCTGCTTCTTGGTGGCCGCCATGTCTTCTGTGCTGTCCGGGCTCTGCTACGCGGAGTTTGGGGCCCGCGTGCCGGGCTCCGGCTCAGCCTATCTCTACAGCTATGTCACAGTGGGACAGTTGTGTGCTTTCATCACTGGCTGGAACCTCATACTCTCCTATGTCATTGGTGAGATGGCCTGACGGGGGTGAGGCGCGGGGGGAGAACGAGGGACTCAACGTCAGGAGAGTGGGATGGGGTGCTGGGGCTTCAGTCTCCTCTGTGACCTTCTTGTTATCCACCTCATGGGGGCGGGGGTAATAGCGCAGGAAAACCCCCCAAACTTTATTCTACTCAACTTCAAGGCCCCATTCCCTTTTCCGCCAACTTCCCCATTTTCTTGCGTTGCCTGATCTTGATCTCTTTCTAACTGTATTAGTTTATTTAAACTATTTTTGCAAATTTTAATGTTTATATTTGAGAGAGAGAGTGCGCGCCAGCGAGCTGGAGTTGGGGAGGGGCAGAGAGAGAGGGAGACAGAATCTGAAGCAGGATCCAGGCTCTGAGCTGTCAGCACGGAGCCCAACATGGGGCTCAAACTCCAGGACCATGAGATCATGACCTGAGCTGAAGTCAGATGCTCAACAGATTGAGCCACTCTGTTGCCCCTAAAATAGTTGACCTGTTTTGTGAACCATCTGTGTCTGCTCTCCCCACCCCATGAGAGGAAACTCTTAGAGATTAGGTGTTCTGTCTGGCGTCTTTTTCCTCCCCAAGATAGCTCCCATGGTGCATAGTAGGAGTTCAGCTCATGTTCCTGAGCGGATGTTTCTGCCTCCGTCGCCTCAGGCACTGCCAGCGTGGCCAGGGCCTGGAGCTCCGCCTTCGACAGCCTGGTTGGGAACCGTGTCCTGCAGGTGCTGCGGGAAACTCTCGTTCTGCACGTCCCCCACGTGCTGGCCACGCACCTGGACTTCTTCGCGCTGGGCCTGGTGCTGCTGCTCACTGGTGAGGCTGGGGGTGTCTAGGACGGGGGAGCCGGGTGTGGAGGGAGTCCTGTGTGAGGCATGGTGGGCGACCCTGGAAGGCAGGTCAGAGAGGCCACTGCTTCCGTCCCCGGGCACTATTGACATTTGGGGTGGATCAGTCTTTGCTGTGGACAACTGTCCTGTACATTGTAGGTGTCTATGTTGTTGTTTTAATTCATGCTGGATTTTGGTAGCATCCCTGACTTCTACTCACTAGATGCCAGTGGCATGCACCCCCCAAATTATGAAAATCAGAATGTCTCCAGACATTGCCCACATGTTCTTTGGGGAACAAAACCAGCCCTTGAGAATCATTTACTTAGACTGACACATTTCTTCTGCTGCACTGAGATCAAGGGTTTTTAAAAAAATCTTTAAAAACATTTTTTAAGCTTATTTTTGAGAGAAAGAGAGAGAGAGACAGACAGATAGACAGACAGCACCAGCACGGGCGGGCAGAAAGAGAGGGAGACACAGAATCTGAAGCAAGATCCAGGCTCTGAGCTGTCAGCACAGAGCCCTGTGCGAGGCTCGAACCCACAGGCCATGAGCTGAAGTCAGATGCTTAACCAACTGAGCTACCCAGGAGCCCCTGAGACCAAAGGTTTTTAAAATTTAATTGAGGGGCGCCTGGGTGGCTCATTCGGTTGAGCGTCCAGCTTTGGCTCAGAGTTTGTGGGTTCGGGCCCCGCATCAGGCTCTGCTGACAGCTCAGAGCCTGGAGCTGCTTCATATTCTGTGTCTCCCTCTCTCTCTGACCCTCCCCTGCTCACGCTGTCTCTCTCTCTCAAAAATAAATAAAACATTAAATTGTTTTTTAAATAAAATAAAATATAATTGAGATGAGAGGCACCTGGGTGACTCAGTTGGTTAAGTATCTAACTTCGGCTCAGGTCATGATCTCACGGTTCATGGGTTTGAGCCCTACATCGGGCTGTGTGGTGAGAGCTCAGAGCCTGGAGCTGCTTCAGATTCTCTCTCTCCCTCTCTCTCTCTCTCTCTGCCCCTCCTCTGCTCGCTCTCTGTCTCTGTCTCAAAAATAAATAAACATTAAAAAAATAAGAATAGGGGGCGCCTGGGTGGCTTAGTCGGTTAAGCGTCCGACTTTCGCTTAGGTCATGATCTCGCGGTTCGTGGGTTCGAGCCCCGCGTCGGGCTCTGTGCTGACTGCCAGCTCAGAGCCTAGAGCCTATTTCGGAGTCTGTATCTCCCTCTCTCTCACCCTCCCTGCTCACGCTATCTGTCTGTCTCTCTCTCCTAGAAATAAATAAAAATATTAAAAAAAAAAAAAAATAAAGAAAAAATTGAGGTGAAATTCACATAGCATCAAATCACCACTTCATTTTATTATTCCCAGCTTTACTGAGATTTAATTGATGTGCACCATTGTGCAAGTTTAAGGGGTACAACACGGTGATTTGATACACCTGCATATCGCAAGCTGATTACCACAGTAAGAAACTAGCCATCTTAGAGTGTACCTTTCGGTGGCACTTAGCACGCCCACAGCGTTGTCCACCCCTGTCTAGTCCCAAAACCCAAAGGGACCAGCACCCCAAAGGGGAACCTCGTGCTTACTGAGCAGGCGCTGCCCACCGCTGTCCCCTCCAGCCCCTGGAAACCACTGGTCTGTCTGTCTGTCAGCGTGGGCTTAGTTGTTGGGCAGATGCCACACTCCATCGTTCCCACAGGACTCCTGGTTCTGGGAGCTAGCGAGTCGGCCCTGGTCACCAAGATCTTCACGGGCGTGAACCTTTTGGTTCTCAGCTTTGTCATTCTCTGCGGCTTCATTAAGGGAGATCTGCACCATTGGCAGCTCACTGAACACGACTACAAACTGGCCATCTCCGAAACCAACGACACTTCTAGGTGAGGCGGGCACTGCTGGCCGTGGTAGGGCGTGCGGGGTGTCAAGCCGGGAACACGGCGGGGTGTGTGTGTGTGTGTGTGTGTGTGTGTGTGTGTGTGAGAAGGGGAATGCGTGGGCAGGGGATGAAGGGGAATGTGGGCGGGGGGTGAAGGGGAATGTGGTGGGGGAGTAAAGGGGAATATGATGGGGGGGTGAAGGGGAATGTGGTGGGTGGGGGGTGAAGGGTGGGGGGGGTGGAGGGTGGGCTGGTGGGGTGGAGGGGAATGCGGTGGGGGGGGTGAAGGGTGGGCGGGGGTGGGTGAAGGGGAATGCGGAGGGGGGGTGGAGGGGAATGCGGTGGGCGGGGGGATGCAGATGACAAGCGTGGGGAACGGAGCCCAGGTCTTGTCGTGTTGACTGAGCCATCAGTGGAGGTGGCTGAGCAGCACGCGCCCGTTCTTGTTCCCTCTCACCACAGCTTGGGCCCTCTGGGCTCTGGAGGGTTTATGCCCTTCGGTATTGAGGGGATTCTCCATGGAGCAGCTACGTGTTTCTACGCGTTCATTGGTTTCGATTGCATTGCCACCACAGGTACCACAGTCATCCCGTCCTATCAGGGGCTTGGGCGCAGTTGGGCTGCCCTTGGGCATGGGGTTGGTAGGAGGGACGTGTAAGAGGGAAGAGGATTTTGCACCTTCGCCCCCATGTTTTCCTGACCCAGTGCTTCCACTCTTCCTGCAGGGGAGGAAGCCCGTGACCCCCAACGATCCATCCCCTTGGGCATCATAATCTCGCTCTTCATCTGCTTTTTGGCGTATTTTGGTGTCTCGGCAGCACTCACCCTCATGATGCCCTACTACCAGATTCATGCCAGCAGCCCCTTGCCACAGGCGTTTCTCTACGTAGGGTGGGACCCGGCCAGATACACTGTGGCTGCCGGAACCCTCTGTGCCCTTTCATCCAGGTCAGTGTCCGCCTTCTCCCCGCGTGGTATCAGACTCTCAGGTGTCCCAGCCCTTGGGAGTGAGATTCAAGAGCGAGAGACGCCTGACCGTACGCCGACTGGGGTCTCCCTTGCTCCCTGAGCTCACGCACATCCCCCTTGTCTCCCCCAGCCTGCTGGGTACCATGTTCCCCATACCTCGAGTGATCTATGCAATGGCAAATGATGGACTTCTCTTCCGGGGCCTCGCCTGGATTCATCCTCGCACACGTACCCCCATTGTGGCCACTATCGTGTCTGGAACTTTTGCAGGTAAGTAAGAAAGAAAAAACCATTTTAAAAAAATGTTTGTGTATTTACTTTGAGAGAGCATATGGGTGTGCACGAGTTGGAGAGGGGCAGAGAGAGAGGGAGAGAGACTCCCAAGGAGGCTCCGAGCTGTCAGCGGGGAGCCTGATGTGGGGCTCAGTCTCACAAACCGAGAGATCACGACCTGAGCCGAAATCAAAGTCGCACGCCCAACTGACTGAGCCACCCAGGCGCCCCCCACACCCACTCTTTTGATCAGTTTCCTCAGTGGTTATTTGCAGTGGCTCCTCACCCCCTCGCCCACCTTGTCTGTGCCTTGTCCCAGCATTGATGGCATTCCTCTTTGAGCTCACTGATCTTGTGGACCTGATGTCAACTGGGACCTTGCTTGCTTACTCCCTGGTGGTCTTTTCTGTCCTTGTCCTCAGGTAAGCTCTTGCATCTTTTCTTCAAAAAAATTTTAATGTTTATTATGGAGAGAGAGAGAGAGACAGAGTGTGAGCTGAGGAGGGGCAGGGAGAGAGGGAGACACAGAATCTGAAGCAGGCTCCAGGCTCTGAGCTGGCAGCACAGAGCCTGACGCAGGGCTCGAACCCACAGACTCTGCGATCGTGACCTGAGCCAAAGTCAGATGCTTAAATGACTGAGCCCCCCAGGCGCCCCAATCCTCCTCTTGCATCTTGCTGGGCGTCTTGGACGCGTGGGGCTTGCTGAGCTGCTAATCGTCTCTTGCTTCCACGCTGCCTCCTAAGCGTTCTGCTGCACCCCGGGGCGGGAAATGGGCCTGATTAGGCTGTCCGATGTTGGAGGGGCAGGGGCTGGTGTTAATACTGCCTTGATGCCTCTCCTTTAGGTACCAGCCAGACCAGACTTTAAGCAAGCACGAGAAAACAGAGATGGAAATAATTGCGATAAAGCCTGCACTTGAAGCAAGTTCTTTGGAATCTGTACCTAAAGCGGGAACCTCACGGACCACGACCGGTCTGCACAACCCTGCCAGCACCACCCCTACTCGGAAGTCTGGCCGGATCGTGTACGGGTGCGCCCTGCTGCTTGGTGAGCAGTGGAGCCCTCTCTGTGGCATTCTGAAACTGGTGGGATGAGGTGGGAGGTTGTGTCTTTGGTAGGCGAGGAAGAGTCTTAGAGAGATGGTGGCCTTTCCCGAGGGGGCCGCTGTTGGGGTGGGGGGGTGACCCGAGCTCTCCACGTTTGGCTTCTGGACTTGGACCTGTCCCCCTCCGTCTCGACCCCTGCAGCTCCCTTGCTGACCGCCCTGTGCCTGATGCTGGCCGAGTGGCCTAGCCATCTGCTCTCTGGAGACCCGGCATATACTACAGGGGCTGGGCTGCTGCTGCTGCTCATTTTTGGGCTCACTTTCATCATCTGGAGACAGCCCCAGAACCCCACTCCTCTCCACTTCAGGGTAGGTGACCTTATGTCCCCAGACTATTGACCTTGAGTGAATGAACTATGCGTTAAGGTCTACCATTCTGGGCCGGGCCAGGCAAGAAAATGGTCAGCCGCTGAAACCATGAACCATTTCCCTGATCTACACTCAGTACTTGCTTACCTCCATTTACCTCTGCCCACTCCTTCCAGAACCTTCCATGGGATACCTGATGTGAGTAGGCAGTGAATGCAGAGCACAGGACTGGAGTCTTCCTTCCCGCCCAGGTGGGGCTGGCGGGGGCACCTCCCTGCCAGACACCTGTGCTGTGTTCAGGGACTGACCTGACTTTGCCCACAGGTCCCTGCGTTGCCCATGCTCCCGCTGGTGAGCATCTTTGTGAATGTTTACCTGATGATGCAGATGACCGCCGAGACCTGGGCCCGATTTGGCCTCTGGATGGTGATCGGTAAGTGGTTTTCTGGGGGAGAAGCAGCTTCTCAAGGGCCACAACTCAACCCTCTTCCTACTACTTTCCCCAGAACTGTCTCAAGACGCCATGATAGGAGGCCTGTTGGGCACTTCTAGGTCGGGGGAGTGCCTCCTTTTCCATCACGTTGTCTCGTTTCCCTTCTAGGATTTGCTATATACTTTGGATATGGGATCCGACACAGCTTGGAGAGCAGTGATCAACAGCCACCAGCCTCAAGCTCCCAAACTTTTGACAGAAACACCCCCGGTGCTGAATTAGCTTAACCACAGGGCAGAGATGCCGTGTAGAATCCCTCCACACACTGGAGGTAGCTTCTGGTTCAAGGGACACTCTGAGCCTCTACGAGTATGAAGGTAGGATGCACTCAGAGCACTGTATTTATTTCCAGGGGGCAAAAATGCCTTTACTCTTATTTTTTAAGTAAACTTTTAAAAGAATATACACACAAAATTGCTTGCTTCATAAATGTGCAGCAAGATGAATTTTCACAAAGCACCAGGAACATACTCAGCAACCAGAGGGACAAATAAAATACCACCTGCATGTAAGCAGTGCCTTCTGGTGCCTATTTCCACATGGGAGGAAAATGTAGCTGTCCCCTCTATACTGTGTCAAGAATTGTACTTTGTTTTTTCTTTTTAATGTTTATTTTTGAGAAGGAGAGACAGAGTGTGAGCAGGGAAGGGACAGAGAGAGAGATAGGGAAGCACAGAATCCGAAGGCAGCTGCAGGCTCTGAGCCGTCAGCACAGAGCCCGGTGCAGGCTTGAACCCATGAACCATGAGATCATGGCCTGAGCCGAAGTCGGATGCTTAACCGACGGAGCCTCCCAGGCACCTCAAGAATTGTACTTTATTTTTTACTTAAAAATTTTAAAGTAGTCTCTACCCTTAACTTGAGGCTCAAACTTATGATCCTGAGATCAAGACTTGCATGCTCTACCAACTGAGCCAGCCCAGTGTCCCTGAAGAACTGTACTTTAAATATTAGAGCACAAACAGAGTAGAAATAAAAGGAAGGGAAGAGGGGCACCTGGGTGGCTCAGTTCATTGAGTGTCCAACTTTGGCTCAGGTCATAATCTCCCATTTCGTGGAGTTGAGCCCCATATCATACTCACTGCTATCAGTGCAGAGCCCACTTCAGATCCTCTGTCCCTCTCTGCTCCTCCCCTGCTTGCGCTCTCTCCCTCTCAAAAACAAACATTAAAAAAAAAAGGAAGCAAAGAGACACATCGTGCAAGTGGTAACAGGAAGCTGGCGTAGCTATTTTAACATCAGACAATGGAGACTCTAAGAAAGACAGTAATATCAGGTGAAGTGCATCATTTCATAATGTCCAAGAGAATTGGTCATTTTTATTTTCTCGTCAGCTTTATTGAGATATAGTTGACTTATCAGCTTGTGTAAGTAAGTGATCATGTGTCTTTATGTTTTCGGTCATACTTTCAGAGTGACACAGTAGGTTGGTGAGGAAAAGTCGTGAACTGAAGGGAATTGCATTGCCTGAGGCAGGGACCCTGTGGGAAGTAATGGTGGTGGATACGTGGGTATATGTGGGTAGAACTAAAAGACAAGATCAGTCTGGTGCAGCACAGAACACTTGAAATTGAGATTGTGGATGCTGAAGATGGTGGCAGGAGCCAAGTACAGGATTGTCTGTGGGGTCAGCAGTAGAGTAAAGAATATGGCCATTGTGGCGATGGAGGTCAATGAAATGAACAGCAAAGTTAATATGGTGAATTTTAATTTTTTTAATGCTTATTTATATTTGAGAGAGAGAGAGCACGCAAGTGGGGGGGAGGAAGTGAGAGAGGGAGACACAGAATCCAAAACAGGCTCCAGGCTCCGAGTATCAGCACAGAGCCCAATGCAGGGCTTGAATCCCTGAACCGTGAGATTATGACCTGAGCCGAAGTCGGACGCTCAACCGACTGAACCACCCAGGTACCCCAATTTGGTGAATTTAAAAACAGCAGGAGGATTAACCAATTAGAAAAATCGCCATCTTGCAAGTTCTCGTGAAAACAGTGGGGGTAGGAAACACTAGTTAGTGGAGACAAATTCAGGCGCAAGTTGATTATTCTTGTCACCACTAACTGGACAGCAGACACACGCGCATCCCAGCTGGCTGCGACAGGCCACGCAGAGCACTGCTCCAGAAGGGTTGGTGGGGAACTGAAGGAGAATGTTAATCAAGCCCTTGGCAACCATTGGCTAATAATAAAAGCCATCAGGGATAGGGTCATATGTCTACAGAAAGCCCAAGCAGCCAAAACCAGAATGCGGGCAGTTCTCCAGGAAAAGCCTAAAATGACCTGATCCGAACCCCAGGTTAACTGTTGCAGATTAAAGGATGCTGACTAGTCAACAAGAGCCAGATACTGACATTTGCAGGAATGTTCTGCCTTGTCTTTTGCTACAGAAGTCATTTTGTCACCTGATTTTGTGCGGCATGATGATGGTATTGTGGCTGCTTTTGAAACATAAGATTTTGGATGTGCTTTGAAAGACCTCAGCCAAGGGCCGGGGGTGGGGTGGCGGGAGGTGTGGGTGGGGAAGCCCCATCTGGATCTGATTTAGAACAAGTTAACTGCTTTACAAAGACTGTGAGAGATGGTTGTGAAAATTTGAATTACAGGGTATCGAAGAGTTGATTATTGTACTGGGCACCTGGGTGGCTCACTCGCTTAACTTCTGACTTCAGCTCGGGTTATGACCTTGTGGTTGTTGATTTCCAGCCCCGCGTTGGTGCGGACGAGAGGGACGTGGAGGGTAGATGACTGATAAACGCAGCCATAAGCAGCAGATAGTGCTGGTAGCAGTTTCCCTTCCGCAAACGTTAACTGCTCACGAGGGTCCAGCCGTATATTATTGGGTGGTGGGTATGGCAGTGGTGGATCTGAGAGCCATAGTCATCTGCATCAAGATACGTTGACTTCACGTAGGTGATTCGACCGATGGTCAAATGCTCAAAGATGTATGTGGCTCTCACTTCATGACTGACTGTTGGCCCTGTCTGCGCTTCGGCATGTCCACCAGAATGTGGGGACAGTGTGTGTCTGCGATCTAGGGCTGCCTCGGGGTTTAGTCAGTCCATGTGAAGCCACCGCGTTGTACCTGGCACATGCTGCCCTCACTGTGGTCACCGAGGTCAATGATTAAGGACATGCTCTGCAAGGCAGGCTGGCTGGTCTGAGCCCAGTGTCACCGTGCAGTACTGGGGTGGCCTTGGGCCAGTTACTGGACCTACTGCACCTCTGTGTCCTCCTGGAAGACTGGAACGATGGCACTTACATCAGAGTATTATTGTAATGTTTACTGAATGGGAGTTTTCAAAACATGACTACAGGGATGAGTAATGCGGATTCTGGTTCTAGCGTGGGGCAAAGCAATTGAAGGGTCTTAAACAAGAGCTACAGGTAATGCCCTTGACCTGTAGGTTAAAAACATGCTTTAAGATCACTGCTGGGACGACAGTAGTGATGAGAGCTTGGGCTGAGCACATGGGTGTGATTAATCTCTAGTTTATGAAAAGTTTAACACTGTAATATTACAACTTGTATTTTAAAATAATGTTTTTTTTTTTTTTAATTTCTGAGAGAGAGAGAGAGACAGAGAGAGAGACAACATGAGCAGGGGAGGGTCAGAGAAAGAGGGAGATACAGAATCTGAAGCAGCTCCAGGCTCTGAGCTTCAGCACAGAGCCCGACATGGGGCTCGAACCCATGAACTGTGAGATCCTGACCTGAGCTGAAGTCAGATGCCTAACCGACTGAGCCTCGAGGCGCCCCTAAAATGTTTTGAGAGAAAGAGAAAGGGGGAGGGTCAGAGAGGGAGGAAGGAAGAGAATCTCCACAGTGAGTGCAGAGCCCAGTGTAGGGCTTGAACCCACGAAACGTTAAGATCATGACCTGAGCTGAAATCAAGAGTTGGATGCTTAACCTACTGAGCCACCCAGGCGCCCCCAGTTTCCTATCCTTTTAAATGTAGATATTTACTGTTATTAAGTGTCCGTCTGGGCACTGCATTCACAGTACACGTCTTGTTTTGATTTTCACTCCTATTTTCTAGTTTCCTTTTGAGCTCTTCTTTGACCCGTCTGTTGTAGAGTGTGGTTTGATTTCCACATACTATTTTCCTTTCCTTCTGTGGATTTCTAGTTGATTCCATCTAGGTTGGAGGAGATCCTAGGATTCCAGTGCTTTCCGGTTTGTCGAGACTTGCTCTGTGGCCTACCACATGGTCTATCCCAGAGAGTGTTTGTGTGTGTTCTGTTGCTGGTGGTGTTGTGTTTGTCTGCTAGGTCTACTTGGTGTATAATGTTGCCTTTCATTTTTGCAAATCAGTCTCCCATCTGGATGTTGTACCCATTACTGAAAGTGGCGTACCGGGGGGACCTGGGTGGCTCAGTGGGTAAGCGTCTCTTGGTTTTGGCTCAGGTCATGATCTCACGGTTTGCGAGCTTAAGCCCCACATCGGGCTTCATACTGACAGTGTGGAGTCTGCTTGGGATTCTCCTTCTCTCTCTCCCTTTCTCTGCCCCTCCTGAACACACACCTACACTCTCAAAATAACCTTTAAAGAAAAAGTGGGGTGCTGAAATCTTCAACTATTACTGCAGAACTATTTGTCAATGTTCATGTCTTTTCAGGTTTAGTGTGTATATAATTTGTATATGAATTGTATTAATATATGATGTCCTTCTTTGTCTGTTTTAGACCTGAAGCCTGTTTTGTCTGATTAGTGTAGCTGCCCCAGCGCTCTTTAATGACTGACGAAGGACCTCAGCTAGTGTGCAATTTGCTTTCTGTATGTCATGCTTTTCTTCTTCCTCATTTCCTCCACCATTACCTTCTTTCCTGATTATTTTGCAGTTAGTGTTCTGACTACCCTCTCATTTCCTTTTGTGTATTTATTTATTTATTTAAATTTTTAAAAAAATATTTTTATTTCTAGGAGAGAGAGAGACAGCGTGAGCAGGGGAGGGTCAGAGAGAGAGGGAGACGCAGAATCCGAAACAGGCTCCAGGCTCTGAGCTGGCAGTCAGCACAGAGCCCGACGCGGGGCTCGAACCCACGAACCGCGAGATCATGACCTAAGCGAAAGTCGGACGCTTAACCGACTATGCCACCCAGGCGCCCCTGTGTATTTATTTATACACATTTATACTCATTTTTGAGAGAGACAGCACAAGGGGGTAGGGGCACAGTGAGAGGTTAGACAGAGAATCCGAAGCAGGCTCCAAGCTCTGAGCTGTCAGCACAGAGCCTGACACGGGGCTCAAACTCACAAACCTTGAGATCATGACTTGAGCCGAAGTTGGACACACAACCAACTGAGCCACCAGGAGCCCCTTTGGCATTTCTTGTAGGGCAGATCTGTTAGCAAATTCTTGGCCTTTTATCTGGCAATGTCTTCACTTCTCTCTAGGTTTTCAAGGGCAGTTTCGACAGATAAAGAATTCTTGGTTGGCAGCCTTTTCTTTCAATTTGTATCATTCCTCCTGCTGACGGGATCTCATGCACCCTTGCAAACGCTCTTTGGACATATCCCTAATGATAAAGTGTGTCTTATGCTTATGTATTTGAGAGGGGGATCATTAATTAATGCGTTGAGGCTCAATAAAATTCAGATGTTCAACAGACACTTCCTGACTGCCTACAACATACACGGTGCCTACTGGTCAAAAGGGTCAGGATTCAGGGGCACCTGGTGGCTCAGTCGGTGAAGCATCTGACTTGGGCTCAGGTCATGATCTCACGGTTCGTGGGTTTGAGCCCTGCGTTGGGCTGTGTGCTGACAGCTCAAAGCCTGAAGCCTGCTTCGGATTCCGTGTCTCCCCCTCTGTCTCTAACCATCCCCTGCTCCCGCACTGTCTCTCAAAAATAAACAAACATTAACAAAAATTTTAAAAAGGCCTTCAGTTGAAACTTTAGTTTTGGATAGTGTGCACCAGAAGCAAATGAGCAGTGCTGTGACAGAGCTGCATCGAGATGCATTAAACCCTACTCTCCCAAAAACTGAGCTTGAAGCAAGGATTATGCACTGACACTTTGATAGGTAGCAAGAAAGAACTTGTCAGAACTACACTGATGCCCACACTCCTGAAAACAGTCCAAAGCAGAGTTCGAATATTTTTGCAGTTGAAATTGTGGGGGTGCCCGGGTGGCCTCCCCCTTTGATTCATGCAGGACAGCACCCACCCCCACCCTGCGGTCAGCAGACACCTGTATTCTGTGAATACTGCACCCCAACCTGGAGGTAAACCACACATTAAGCCCTACTTGACCCCAGAATCTGGACCTCTTGTTGGCCTCTGTGCTCTAACCACACTGCCACCCCCCGGGCCAAGGCCAGACCCATAGGCATTCAGGTCTTCCAGCCCTTGAAGGCTTCAGCTTCCCAGGACCTGTCTACACTAGCCATTCCTCCCCCAGCTTCTCAAACTCACCCGCCTGGGCTCTAGTCTTTCCCACAGGAGCACCCCTCCCTCCTCTCCAGGGCCCCTGGCGCTTACTGCTCCCTCAACTCTCCCAGGACTGGGTTGCGGGTCCCAGCGCCTCCCCCTGGGCAAGTCTGCTTGCCACCCCCTCGAGCACCCCCTTCTTGCTCCTGCTGCAGGACCTCCAAGACCCCGTGTGCAGGCCCCATACTCCTTCCTGAACTGGTCACGCCTGACAACCCAACAAGGTGCCAGGCTCACACGTGACTCTGACGGTAGCTACTCTAGAGGGCGTCTGGTGAAATCGATAGTGTTACTTCTTGTTTCCCTGGTGAGAAGACGTCAAACCTGCTTCATTGGCCATTTGGTGATCTCAAGTGCTTATTTAGGTCCCCGCCACCCCCTTAAAACTGCTTTGTTATGGACTTGGGGGACTCAGGTTTCTGTGTGAGTCCTTCATCAGGTGCACGGACAGAAGTGCCTTCTCCCAGGCTGCTGCCTGCTGCTTTCACCTGCATGTCACTTGAACACAACTCTCAACGAAATCCAACACGTAAGCTTTTTATTTCACACTGAGCATCTTCTGTGTACCAGGAAACACCGTCCACCCCAAGGCCATGGCAGTAATCTCTAGATTACTGTATCTTCCTCTAGAAGTCTGAGTCTTTCCTAAACCCACTATACCCACAGGGGAGGCGGTCTTCCTCGAAGAATTCACCAGGGGCAATGCTTGTGGTAATGATGGTAAGAACAACAACATCTAATATTGACTGAGCTCACATGATTTTCCAGATACACTTTAAGAGTTTACACGTAGCAGACACAGCCAGCCCAGCAGCAGTATGTGTGACTGTCCCCATTTCACACGTGACACATGGGGGTCGCAGGTTGCTTCCCCAGGTTTCACAGAGGGTGAAGCAGTGGGATGGTGACGGTAACGGGGAGGCTCTCCCACGTATGTTACATCAGTGGAGCTGTTCCCTAGAACAAATCTGAAATGACACAGACATTGACTGGTAGCGGGAGGCTTCTATCCACTCATTACACTAACCAATTCAGTAAAAAAAAAAAAAGTCTACACTGAGTGTGCGGTGATCACTAAGAAAAAGTGATTTCTCCATTCTCCAAACCTGCCTCGAGCAGGACTCCTCGGAGATCCTGTAAGCAGAAGGGTGACTGGTGAAGGCTTTCTTTCGTTAAATCGTGTCATGGATTTCCCTCGTGTTGTGGCTGGAGTGAGGGTGGGATAGAAGCTTCTGCATGTTCTTTGGGTTCAAGAGGCTTTCCAGCCGTGTGAATTCTCCCATGTTCTCGAACATGGTTCACATGGTGACACGCCTTCCCACACTCCTTACATTCAAAGGCTTTCTCGCCCGTGTGAACCTTCTGATGCTGGGTAAGCTGATGGCCGTGACTGAAGGCCTTCCCACACTCTTTGCATCCGTAGGGCTTCTCCCCGGTGTGAATCCTCTCGTGCTTCACAAGGCTCGAGCCGTAGATGAAGGCCTTCCCACACTCCCGGCATTTGTAAGGCGTCTCGCCCGTGTGGATCCGCTCGTGCTGGGTGAGGTGGTAGCCGCAGTTGAAGGCCTTCCCGCACTCCGTGCACTTGTAGGGCTTCTCGCCCGTGTGAATCCTCTCGTGCTTCACGAGGCTCGAGCCCCAGCGGAAGGCCTTCCCGCACTCCTTACACTCGTGCGGCTTCTCGCCGGTGTGGATCTTCTGGTGCTGGGTGAGGTAGTTGACCCGCGTGAAGGCCTTCCCGCACTCCTGGCATTCGTAGGGCTTCTCGCCCGTGTGGATCCTCTTGTGCTGGACGAGGCTCGAGCCGCAGATGAAGGCCTTCCCACAGTCCTTACACTCGTAGGGCTTCTCGCCGCTGTGAATTCGCTTGTGTTGGATCAGTTTGTACACACGGCTGAAGGTCTTGCCGCAGTCTTTGCACTCGTAGTCCTTCTCCCCCGTGTGAAACCTCTGGTGCTGGGTGAGCTCGTCGCCCCGTCTGAAGGCCTTCCCGCAGTCCTTACACTCGTAGGGTTTCTCGCCCGTGTGGATCCTCTTGTGGATGACGAGGCTCGAGCCCCAGCGAAAGGCCTTCCCGCAGTCCTTACACTCGTAGGGCTTCTCGCCCGTGTGGATCTTCTGGTGCTGAGTGAGCTGATTACCCCAACGAAAGGCCTTTTTACATTCTTTACATTCGTAGGGCTTCTCGCCCGTGTGAATTTTCTGATGCTGAGTGAGCTGGTAGCCACGACTAAAGGCCTTCCCGCATTCTTTACACTCATAGGAGTTCTCTCTGGCGTGGTGTCTCTGGTGCACTCTGCCAGAGCTATTTTCTCTACAAGTGGGCGCTTTCTCACAGTTGGTTATCACTTGATTCAGACAGCCCTCCTGAGGGCCCCGCCGTCTTTCAAGCTCACCTTCACACCTCCAGCTAAGGCCAACGGGTTTCCTTTTTCCATTTGAGTTCCAGCGGGATAAATTTATTTCATAAATGCCCTTTTCTGTAGGTAAACTCTTGGTCCCATACGGTGACTCCAAATCTGGAAAAAAAAAAAAATAACGTATTTTGTTTCCTTTTAAGGAGAATGAAAACACAAACGAAACTAACCACAAAGCAAAAGCTGACTCTAAGAGAAATAAAACTTCTCTAGGAGAACAAACATGGATCTCCTACGGGCTCTTTTTTTTTTTTTTTTTACAAATAGTTTATTGTCAAATTAGTTTCCACGTAACACCCAGTGCTCATCCCCACAAGTGTCCTCCTCCATGCCCATCCCCCCTCCCCCCCACATCCATCAGTCCTCAGTTTTTGTCAGCATTCAAGAGTCTCTCATGGCTTGCCTCTCTCCCCTTCCCCCACCATTTCCCCCCTTCTTCTCCCCCTTGTTCCTCCGTCAAGTTCCTAATCCTCCTATACGTGCAAACATATGATATTTGTCTTTCTCTGCCTGACTTATTTCGCTCAGCATAACACCCTCAAGGTCCAACCATGTTGCTACACATGGCCAGATTTCATTCTTTCTCATTGCCATGTAGTAGTCCATGGTATAGATAAACCACATCTTCTTGATCCATTCATCTGTTGATGGACACTTAGGCTCTTTCCATGTTTTAGCTATTGTGGAGAGTGCTGCTATGAACATTGGGGTACATGTGCTCCTATGCATCAGCATTTCTGTATCCCTTGGGTAAATTCCTAGCAGTGCTATTGCTGCGTCATAGGGGAGTTCTATTGTTAGTTTCCTTAGGAACCTCCACACTCTACGGCCTCTTGTTAGAATGTAGAGTCCACTTCTGGGATCACGATACTTAATGAGGAAAGCACTGGAGACAGATGTTCCTGCTAAAGTCAGACAAGAAAAAGGCAGTGCCTGTCAGCTGCCCCACTATGGGCTGACCCAATTTAACAGAAAGAAAGCGGAGGGGCAGATCTCAAAAATAAAGATGAAAAAGAGTAAATTAGCAGATGATGTGATGACATACCTGGAAAACACAGGGAAAGTCAAATATGCAATTAATGTAAAAAACAATATACAGTTGGGTAGCTGGCTATAAAGTATTCTGAAATTAATCTTTAGATGTCAGTCATATGATGAAAGGTAGTTCTGGACATAAAGACCCAACATCGGAGGCAATAAAAGAGACAACGTAGGATTCATTGTAAGAAACCTGGTAAATGCTAAGTGGGAGGGTTCAGGAGGGTCTGACCATCAGCACGATGCTAAATGCAAGGGGCTGCCAAGCCCCGAACACGTGACTCCGCGAGTTCACAATGATGCTACAAAGTGTTAAATGATCAACGGGGAGCATACTAGCAAACCAGCCCTTTACTGTAGGAACTGGTCATTTTTTTCCTTAAAGAACAATGTTTATCCAGTACAAAGAGGCTCAGTACATAACCAAGTAGCAGGTGGAGCACAGTTTCTCCTTAACAAATAAAGAAGTGGTGATAAAAGATCACCATTTTTAAAATATGTATTTTTTGGGGCGCCTGGGTGGCTTAGTCGGTTAAGCGTCCGACTTTCGCTTAGGTCATGATCTCGCGGTTCGTGGGTTTGGGCCCCGCGTCGGGCTCTGTGCTGACTGCCAGCTCAGAGCCTGGAGCCCGTTTCAGTCTGTGACTCCCTCTCTCTCTGACCCTCCCCTGCTCACGCTGTCTCTCTCTCTCTCCTAGAAATACATAAAACATTAAAAAAATTAAAAAAATAAAATAAAATAAAATATGTATTTTTTTAAGTTTATTTTGAGAGAGACAGCATGAGTGAGGGGGGGGGCAGAGAGAGGAGAGACAGAATCCCAAGCAGGCCCCTAGCTGCCAGTGCAAAGCCCAGTGTGGGGCTTGAACTTACCAACCATGAGATCACAACCTGAGCCAAGACCACGTCGGAAGCCTAACTGTCTGAGTGGCCCAAGTGCCCCAAGAAGATCACCATTCTGAAATTTTTTTTAATGTTTATTTTTGGGACAGAGAAACCGAGCATGAGCAGGGAAGGATCAGAAAGAGAGGGAGAAACAAAATCTGAAGCAGCTCCAGGCTCCCAGCTGTCAGCACAGAGCCTGACACGGGGCTTGAACTCACTAACCATGAGATCATGACCTGAGCCGAAGTTGTATGCTTAACTACCTGAGCCCCCCGCGCCCGCAGATCAGCATTGAGGCCTGCTGCAGAAGTGGGTCAGGCACCGAGCGTCAGTGGTGGCCAAGGGCACAAAGTGCCATAAGCCGACAACGTCCTGCGGTGTCCCGAGCATAACTGTGCAGGGAGGACGTGTCAGTGACAAGTGGACAACAGGGTAAGAAGGAGAGCACTCAAGCTGGGATGCCAGCCAACCCGCAGGAGCTGCAAAGGGCCTAGGGTCATGCCGTCTACGCCCCTGGCACCGGAGGCTGGTCTGCGACACGAGAGCGGGAGTGAAGTAGGAGAGGAGGGGTGAAGGGGGACGGGGTGACTTCCCCACGGGCCTTGGGCCTTTGCAGGAAGCTTCCCAAAGACCCAGGGGCACACCTGCTCCCTGCCCTCATGGCGTGGCCCAGCTGGACCCGCGGTCAGTCCCTTGAACGTGTCCCCCTTTCAACCACAAGACGCTCTTCCCTGCTCCAAAAAAGCAGCAAGTCACATCTGGCGTGGAAATGAAAGGTCCTGCTTTCGAAAAAAGAAATGCACCTGATGTGGGACTTCAGAAATAAGTTATAAACTCAGAAATTCTTCGATGGAGACTTAGCGAAATTTCTGACAAGTTCAGTGTCAAAGTGGTCAGACTTCAGAAAAGAGAAATGAAGAACAAACAGGCAGCCAGATAGGAAAGGTCTTACTGTAAACAGCCAAGGGCTTCAGTACAACAGTACCACAGGGCAAGTGTCCGTCTGGACTCGGGGCCACAGCGCTCAGGTTCGGTTCTTGCTTCTGCCTCCCTGTCCGCCCGAGCGCTCTCACCTGCAGACCAGAGCACTCTCACCTGCAGACCAGAGCACTCTCACCTGCAGACTAGAGCACTCTCGCCTGCAGATCAGAGCACTCTCGCCTGCAGACTAGAGCACTCTCGCCTGCAGACTAGAGCACTCTCGCCTGCAGACTAGAGCACTCTCGCCTGCAGACTAGAGCACTCTCACCTGCAGATCAGAGCACTCTCACCTGCAGATCAGATGTAGCAGTCGTGCGTACGTCATCAACTGGTGGGAAGCAGATGAAGCGTATCTGCACAAACACGCCATGCTCACGACAGTGCCTGGTACACAGCGAGCATAGTGTGAGCCACTAACACTACAGCTGCTATTTTCCTAACAGAAAAATGACACACATCTTGAGATGTTCACGAGACATGGTCATCCAGTGTCTAACTCAGAACTCAGGAATTTAAACTTCCAACCTCACTTCCGGTAACAGCACAGCACAGGGAAAGTGCTGGCTATGGCTTCACGTGAGTGCTGTGCGTGCAGTCTACCTCTACGCCAGACACATGCTGGGTCACCAGCGGACTCACGTGTGAGCTGCTTTCCCAGAAGGTGGCCCCAAAGCAGCACACACCATCAACCATGGTTTGGGTATGAACACGCTACCATAACATGAAGATGGCCGTGAAGTAAATATTCCAGAATTTGAAAACACTTTGGTCACTAAGGGCGGGATACAATTACAAGAAGGGCCAGACAAAGGTGGGAAGATCAGTGACAGGGGAGACGGTGCGTGATGCCCATTTTAGACGCAGCAGGGCTCAGGATGCGCCTGAGAAGGGAAGAAGGAAGTCGGCTGGCTCCGTGGAAGGCGTCCTGGCACTCAGGGGGGCAGGCAGCTCACCCAGGGACACCAGGTTGCTGTAGTTCTCCAGCATCACATCCCAGTACAGGTCCCTCTGCGTGGAGTCCAGGCATGCCCACTCCTCCTGCGAGAAGTCGATGGCTACGTCTGAGAACGTCACCAAGCCCTGAGAACACAAACCCACAAGCCCCTCATGAGATGAGAGGGCACAGGTTGAAGACAAAGGACAGGTCTGCTCGGGGTCGGGCTGGACACGGGCTGGATGTGGTGGGACTGTGACCGCAGCAGGGCCCAGCTGCTGCAGAGAGAACCTTTGCGCTGTGGGATGCCTTGTCTCCCCAGCCCGTCAATCCTGGGGCTCCTCCCGCATGCCTGCCCCGGAACACCTCAGCAAGCGTGGATCCCTGAGGATCACCCTCTCCGTCCTCCATGGGGAGGAAAATGCCCGGGGTTTTGTTTCCAAATGTGAAAACTGAGCTTTTACCTTCGAAACTAGGGCTCACATGTCTGAATGTTCTCAAGCCTCATGCTCATTATCTGCCAAGACTTTACGCAGCCTTCCTACATAATGACGGCAGCATTTTCTTGTTCCCTCGTGGGACAGATTAGACTTATTACGGCTGTAGACTTTGGAACAACCAGCCATCTGGGGTTTTCCCCAATTCTGGGAGTAGATGATCATCTAGGACTTCTGTACCCGGTGACCTTACCCGTCACCACCCAGCACCCCTGCCTTTTCCATGTTCCCGACTTAGGATACTGGTGCCAAGTCACGTGGATGCATGCAGGGGCTTGGGGGGTCTGCTGGGTGCCCGGGTAACACCATGGCCCGCCATCCGCAGGCCCTAACCACAGCCCTGTCTGGCCCCAAAAGCCTCCTGGAGCTGGAGCTCTCACCGCGCACTGACACTGATCAACAACGTGAGCATTCCCTCTTCTTGGCCTGAAAAAAAGACCAGTGGAGAACAGGGGAGAATTTCTGTTTTTGCACGTGGTCAAATGCGACCACCATCTCCAACTCCTCAAACCACAGATGTGACCCAAGTTTTTCTCTCAAGGGACTTCCCTCCTCCACTGCCTCCTCGTTGCTCTTGACAAAAAAAGTGAGCACACAGGAGACACTGAATCACCGGCTCCGTGTCCCCCACGTGGCTGTTTGGCATCGTTTTTCACCAGAATAGGAATACCCAAGGAGGGGTAATTACAGGGGCCTCAAGAGCCTTCAGGATTATTTGTAAAACTATCCACAGGAACTACACACCGCATTTCAAGAAGGAGAGAGAAAAATATACTTACGTGGGCCATAGTTTTAGAATCAAGAACTGATCAGTCCTCTTGGGGTTTCTTTTACCAAAGACACAAAATCCAGAGAAGCCACAGATATACGAGAAAAAAAGAGGCATTAAAATAAGTGCACCTTGTTCCCCAAATGACTTCATACAACCTTCCTGCTCCTCCATCTTTGCTTCAAACCTCCCCCGCACCCCCACCCCTTTCTTCCCCACAAAGCTCTCCCCAAAACCCAGCTGAGCACACGGATTAGAGCAGCTTTTAGTTACGGTTTTGCCTTGAAGTCAGACCTACTCTTTTACTTTTTAAATTTTTATTTTTTTAGTAATCTTGTCCCCCAATGTGGGGCTTGAACCCATGACACCCAGATCAAGAGTTGCACACTCTACTGAATGAGCCGGCTGGGTGCCCCTCAACATCAATTTTCAATTGCAGCGCAGGGACACAGAGTGTTATGTTAATGTCAGGATTATGCAAGTCTGCACCTCACGCTGCGCACACAGTGTAGCGGCAGTCCGTCACCAGGTGACGCTGTTAACAATACCGAGGACTGTGCTCCCTATGCCATTCCTCTCATTCCCGTGACTTACTCACCTCAGGGCTGGAAGCCTGTACCTCCCACTTCCCTTCACCCATTCTGCCCATCCCCCCTCCCCTCTGACAACCATGTTTGTTGGTTCTCTTTATGGGTTTGTTTCTGTTTTTGTTTTATTTAGATTCCACATATAAGTGAAATCATATGGCATTTATCTTTCTCTTACTTCACTTAGCACAATACTCTTCAGGTGCATCTATCTTGTTGCAAATAGCAAGATCTCATTCCTGTCTTTTACCCTCAACTTTTTTTTTTTAAAGGGAGTGAGAAAGCACAAAGCTGGGGAGGGGGGGCAGAGAATTTTAAGCAAGCTCCATGCTCAGTACAGAGCCCAACTCAGGGCTAGATTGCCATGACTCTGGAGATTCTGGAATCATGACCCGAGGTGCGCCTGCCCTCAACCTCCAAGAGGTGATCTACATCACACCTGATGGGAATGTCTTTGTTCTGGTGCAGCTGGCTACACCCAACCAGTCTTAGGGCAGGAACTGGCCATGCCAAAAAGACCAACCAAGTGATTAGGGGTGTATGCTTTGGGTCATGACCTGATACTGAGATTAACATGGAGACAATTAAATGTCAATCATGTCTGGATGATCGATCAGTCAATGATGCCTATGGAAACGCTGGGAGCTTGCAATACTCCTTGCATATTGTCCTATGTCCCTACGGACAGGGAATCCAGCCCTAACTCCGGGGGGGAGGGCACTGGAAGCTTGTTAATGTGCATCCTTCCCCTGTAATTAACTGTAACTGTGAGCAGAACAGCTCTCAGTGGATGCTAGGAATCCTTCCAATCCTGATTTACTGAACCTGAGGGTAGTTTTGGGAAAGTCCTGAACTTGGAGTTGGTGTCAGGGCTGCAGGTAACCTTGTGTGGCTCCTGTGCCAATCTGTCCTGGCCTCTAGATAGGGTGAGATTGGTCAAGATACGGCCAGTGGAGGCAGTGAAGGAAATGCCAGCCGTGTTCTGCACTGAGGCTAGAGAAGCTGACTGCATAAGTACAATGTAAAAGAGTACATGATCATGAAATGCTAAGTTGGCAGAAACCCTTAAGACAGGAGACATACTTCAGATTCGTTGTCAGCAGAAAAATCAGTTTATCAACAGAATAATACAGTTGCACTATTTTACATATGAACGTATGTATACGTACAGACACACACACAGACACAAAACAAGCAAAACCTCTCAGTAGAAAGAAAGAGATAGGAAACCCAGAGAAATAGAAAAAAAGGCCTGGAGAGTTAACATCCTTGTGCAGAAGAAAAGAGCTAACAGAGCAGGTCTGAAACTGCTTGCAAGACTGGCCCTTGGCTGGACTTGCAGAGGCTCCCTGACAAGGGTGGCTCACTGCTCCGAAACCAGAGAAACCGTGTGGTCTCCACGGAACCCTTGCTTTCCTCTGGGGTCTGGGATGCGCCAAGCAGACGGTGCCTGTGGGCTTGGGCCCTGACCCAAATCCCAGCCTCCTCGGCCCAGACGGCTTCCCCAGTGGACTTCACATGTGCTGCTGTCCCTCGTGCTGGGGAGGAGGGGTAAGCATGTCCCGGGTCACTGCACTGGGAGGGCGCTCTTGGAAGTGTGTGCCTGGATTCCTCCCAACGTTGTCCCAGGCGCCTGTCCCTGGGCTGACTCTGCTGTGTGTACTGTCACCAGATAAACCCTGGCCACGAGCAGGGCTTGTTGAATCCCATGAGTCCACTCAGAGAACCAGAGAACCTGCTGGTGGTCCTGGTGACCTGAAACTCCGTCTGATCTTAACTTCTTCTTTTTCTTTTTTTTTAATGTTTATTTTTGAGAGAGACAGAGAGCATAAGCAGGAGGGGCAGAGAGAGAGGGAGACACAGAACTCGCAGCACGTTCCAGACTCTGAGCTGTCAGCACAGAGCCTTACACGGGGCTCAAATCCAGGAACCGGGAGATCATGACCTGAGCCAAAGTCAGATGCTTAACTGACAGCCACACAGGTGCCCTGTGATCTTGATTTTCTTAAGTACACCTGACTGGGCGTGCAACAGCAGGCTTTGGATGGACACACACACGTGTGCATTTATTTCTTTTAAATTCATTAAATGGTGGGGCGCCTGGGTGGCTCAGTCAGTTAAGCGTCCAACTTTGGCTCAGGTCATGACCTTGTACAAATTTGTGGGTTCGAGCCCTGCACTGGGCTCTGTGCTGACAGCTCGGAGCCTGGAGCCTGCTTCGTATTCTGTGTCTTCCTCTCCCTCTGCCCCTCCCTTGCTCACAACTGTCTCTCTCTCAAAAATAAATGAACATTAAAAATTTTTTTAAAAAATTCACTACATGACAGTTGGACTCTCAAACAACAAAGAAACTTTTTTAGAGTCTCCTTTTGACAGGGTGGGAGAAAAGATCAGAATACATGATCTCTGCATTATTCTGCTCGTTAAGTTTTGTTTCCTTTGCCTTCCTAATACCTAAGCCAGCTCTATGGTCTACCCATGTCCACACACGTTGGGGCGCCGGCTGGAAACAGGACTAGAATCCCAAGGGGCGTCCTGCAGATGCTGACGGCTGTCTCCTGGGAGGCTGAACTGGACTTCTGAACTTGGCCTTTCAGCCACAGTGTCCTGCTACACCATCTGACCCCATCAGTCTTCACTTTGTGTCAGATGCCATTAAAGAAGTCTGGTAAAGTCTAAAACTCAGGTAGCAAACTCCATTTAAACCCCCCCGCCCCTGCCCACGCATTGAGTTATCTGGTCACAACCTGATGACCTGGAGAATGATGATCTCCTTCCCAGCACCTGTCGGAGCACGTCACCTACAGTCTCCACAGGCCCTGTCCACAGGCGGCCCTGGGCTTCCATTCAGTCTCCCTTGAGGGCCGAATTATGAGCAATGTGCAGGTAACAATGTTCTCAGTCATCACCCGTTCCGAGTGCTCACACCACAGGGCCAGACGCCTTACAGGTAGGATTCCGATGCAAAATTCCACTTTTGGGAACTTATCCCAAGGAAACAGAAAGAGGTGTGCAAACAGGTGTACAAGAATAGTCAGAGGACTTTTTAAAAATGGGATAGCTTTAAAAACTTTTTTGAGATAACTGTAGATTTACATGCAGTTTTAAGAAATATAGAGGGAACTGTGTACCCTTTCCCCGGGTGACCCCAATGGTAACACGTCACAAAACTATAGGACGATATAACAATCAGGACATTGATACCGATGTAATCCATCAATTTTATTCAGATTTTCCGGAGAATTGTCTTAAAAGATGGGGGGGAAAAAAAAAAGAAACAGAAATATCTCATGGTAGAGGACAGATGAAGTAAATTATGGTCTGTTATAATGTCATATAATACATTTACTAACAATGATATTGACGTATATTATTTGAGAAGGAAATTTAAGATGAATTACTAAGTGAAGAAGACAGGTTTAATAAATATGTGTGATTTGGGAGAAGAGGGCTTGGTGAAATTAAAAATAAGGCTCTGTTGGGGCGCCTGGGTGGCTTAGTCGGTTAAGCGTCCGACTTTTGCTTAGGTCATGATCTCGCAGTTTGTGGGTTCGGGCCCCGTGTCGGGCTCCGTGCTGACTGCCAACTCAGAGCCTGGAGCTTGTTTCAGTCTGTGACTCCCTCTCTCTCTCTCATAGAAATAAATAAAAACATTAAAAAAAAAAATAAGGCTCTGTGGCCTGACTTTCAGGATGTGAATCTGAGCTCTGACAGTTCATAAGCTCCCACTGTCTGTTCCCCATGGGTAAGATGGGGGTAAAAACAGTATTTATTGGCCACGTAGGACTGCAGCAACTATTAAGATAATCTACGTAAAACAAGTTACTCAATACAAGTTAGTTATGAATGAAAATCGGTCACATCACACTATTTTTATGAAAGAAACTCCAAGCTGCCTTTTCCCTTCTTCTACTGAAATGTGCTTCTCAAAGCTGCTGTCTACATAATCCATGCTAACAATTTTCAGAGCCTCTTGAAAATGAAATTCTTTTAAATTAACATCAGCAAAAAAAAAAATCTGAGACACAGAAGGAGAAAATGAGGGCCAGACTGGAGTCTGCATGGAAAATCCAGCTCGAAGTATCTAACCTGAGAAGGTGTCACTGAGAACACAGTAGGCAGCTGGGCCCTGCACGCCACGTGACATGGGGGAGACTTAAGTCGCCTTACCATTTTCTCATATATCGGCCCATGCACATGTTACAGTGCAATTCCTATCTGTAGTAAGTCAGCGCTTATATCATGTTCTATGAAAGGAAAATTCAAGCCTTACAAAATCTAATTTTCAAAGACGGTCTGTGTTGATAATTTATTCATGGGACTAATTTCAAATGATGTCTTTCTAATCGCTGAAGGTATAAATATGTCAGATGAGGATCGCTGGAGCAGTTCTCTCCACACACACACAGGTACAAGGGGACCCACGCTGAGCCGGACACCTCTATAAACTAACATTTGGAGAGTCATTTATGTTACCAGTTAGCAGGATCCAGGGCTCTGCAGACAAAACCACACATGTATGCACAGAGGGGAAGGGAAGGGCTGGACACATACATACCAAAATAATCAACAGCAATTCGCTCTGGACAGTAGTTATGGGTAATTTCGAGTTTCTTCTTTACAGGCTCCTTAGGGAACTGAAGCTTTTGCAGCAGGCCTGAATTAATCCCATAATAAGAAACATGAGTCCCAAATTAAAAAAAAAAAAATCAACAAACAGAAAGGCCACGGTTATGGGGGAGTGGATATATCACAGTCATCAGGGGAACTAAGGGTGTACAGGCCTGTGACAGGCAGGAAAACGGTCTCCCAAAGATGTCCACATCCTAACCGTGGAGCCCGTGAATATGTTACGTTACAGGGCAAACGGGAGTTGGGGTCTGGGTGGACTTGGGAGTCTCTCCTCACCTGATCTCAAGACAGGGACGTACCGAGAATTACGCCAGGCGGGCCCAATGTAATTGCAAGGGTCCTTACAAGTAAATGAGGCGGTGAGAAGAGAGAAAGATGCGACCACCAAGGCAGGGTCAGAGTGACTGGGTTCTAGTAATTGGGGTCCTGACACATGAGGCTGTCACTCAGGGAGACACGGTCTTTGGGAAAAAAAGGAACAGCTCCCCAGTGGAGAACACTGACGAACTACCTCAGCCAGATGATCAAGTTCAAACTCAGCCATCATAAATCGTGCTGACACTTTGTGCTCTCGCCATGACAAGATGAACGTAGTGTGATCTTCCACCCCCAAAACCATACACCCAGTCCAATTGCGAGAAAAGCATTGGGTTCCAAGAGAGAGGGGCATCCTACCAAGTACCTGTACCTCTCAAAACCGTCAAGGTCATCAGAAACAAGGGAGGTCTGAGAAACTGTCTCAGCCAAGAGGAGCTTAAGGGCACATGTCAGGGAAATGTAATGGGGTCCCCTGGATGGCATCCTGGAACAGATGAAGAACATTATGTAAAGACTAAGGAAATCTGAATAAAGCATGGACTGCAGTTAATGATATCAAACCTGGCTCATCAACTGTAAAATAATATTCCATATTAATGTACGTTGTTAATGGTAGGGGAGTCCGGGTGAAGGGTACCTGGGCATTCTCAGTACCATCTCTGCAAGTTTTCTGCAAATCTAAAACCATTCTAAAAATTAAGAAGATGCAACCTGTAGCCCGCAAAACACGAGCTAGTCAATCCGTGACCTTTCACGGAAAATATGTGCGGAACCCTGCTCTAGACCCAGAACTCACGCTCAACGTCAAACCATGTTGCTTCTTGCAGTTCAGACAGAGACACAACCCAGGAAAACAGAGGCTGTCAGACCTCTGAAGGGACCAGGATAATACCAAAAACCTCTATTTATTGCTTCCTGGAAAAAAAAAAAAATCCCTGCTTTTGATGACATAGATCTTTGTTCAAGCCCCTCTTTTAAGAGCATCTCAAAGCTGGTAACTCTGTCATTCGCTGGCCCAAACCGTCAAACCTTCTATCTTCTTATTTCGCTCTGGAAGTCAGGCCTGCGGTGAAGCAGGGCTACGTCTAGGACTTGATGCCACCTTACGAGTCATATCATCCGACCAAATCACACCCTAAAAGCACGACACGGAACCTCCTCATTGTATTCTTCTGTTCTGTTTCGTGTCTGTACACCCGCGTGGCCCCATCACACCTTTGGGCAAGAATTACTGAGGTTAAGTCCCTATTAGTGAGAACATTTCAGGCCTGGGAAAGCAAATATTCTGAAGTCCTAAAACACAAGTTAGTGACTGAATAAAAAGGTAACTCATCTGAACCTTGACTTTAAGGTGTGTAACAAGTCGTCTTCCTCCTCAGGATGCTTTTTCTGGAGGACCGCTGGCCTGGGGGAAAGAGAAGGAGACACTCGGGCCTTTCTGGAGTACAAACTTACCAGAAAACACCCTCCAAGCCCACACGTCGTATTTAAAACCAATCTGGAAGGAGAGAGAGCTGGGATCTGAGTATTTCAGAGACTCCTGGGGATCAGGCTGTAGTAACTGGGTTCTGACCCATGAAGCAGCCCCCTTCCCCCATCTCCCAAGTCAGAGACCTCTCCCTTCCAAAGGAGGAATCTCATTCCCGAGGCCTTTCCGTCCTATTACTCAGGCAGCCTGTAAAGACAGTACTTCATTCTAAAACAGTCATCTCCTGACTATATCTGCGCCCTTTGTGCCGGTCACTTTCGGGGCAGGGGGTTCGGGCTCCGACCTCCCTGAGATCACTGCCCTTCCCCCCCCCCCTTCGAATATGCTCCGGTTGGAGCAGCCACGGCAAAGCTACAGGCTGCACTGTCCTGCACACGCAGTCACGACACACATCTAGCACGGCCCCGCCCCTCCTCCCCCCGGCGGCGCGAAAGCACCATGACAACCACGGCGTTCCAACCCCGCCCCGCCGTCTCCCAGCTACCGACAGCGCTAAGGCACCCGTGACAGCCACGGAGCCCCATCCGACCCCCTGCCGCCCCCACGCGTGCGCGAGGGCACCCGTGACAGCCACGGAGCCCCATCCTACTCCCTGCCGCCCCCCTCCCCACCCCGGTGGAGCGAAGGCACCCGTGACAGCCGCGGAGCCCCATCCGACCCCCTGCCGCCCCCCTCCCCACCCCGGTGGAGCGAAGGCACCCGTGACAGCCGCGGAGCACAGTCGCGCAGTCGCGGTCCCGCCGCCCCCGCCCCCACACACTCCCGCGAAGTGCGTCACAGCCGCCGAGACGGGGCCTGCCCTCGCGCGCACCGCGGCCCCGGGGCCCCGGTCCCGGGCATCCTCGACGCTCCCGCACTTCTCTCCGCAGCAGCTCCCGCAGGCCCAGGCTCCGCATCGGGCCTCCGCGCCCGAGGCGCCCTCCCCACCGCCCTCCTACATCGTTCCCCGCGCTGCTCCCCTCCCAGCAGGCCACCCACTCACCGCTCGGGGGCCCACGACCCACTGGACGTCGGGAAGGGCGGGAGGGGGTGCAAGGCGCGAAGTTAACTCCAAACTGCGTCCGCGGGACGCAGGGCAGAGAAGATGCTAGACGCAGGGAGCCTCTCCCAGCAGGCACCTCGGCGTGCTCCGACTTGGGAGAGGGGGCGGTGCACCGGGCTTCTGGGAAATGTAGTCCCCCAGCCCGGGAATACGCGGAGGCGGATGCGCGGCCGCCCCCCTCCCCGGCATGCAACTCTGCACCGCCCCCGTGCGCTGTGCCCCACGGACTTCTGGGAAATGTCGTTCAGGGGAAGAACTCGCGGAAGGATGGGAGTGCGGCCGTGCTCCCAACATGCATTTCGGTCCCTTACGTAAGGATGCCTCGTCATCGGTGTGATGTCACTCAAGCTAAGGCGTTGATTTTAAGAGTAATTGAGACTTTTCCCTCAGTCCATTATTTGACTTCTGAAAAACAAAACAAAACCTTTTTCTAATTCTGGCGTTCCTTCTACAGTCGTTTAACTGGGATATTTCTTTCCCTTGTACAGTGGGACTATGTGGTTCCGCTGTAGTATTGATCCCGTTGTAAAGGCAGCACGTTTGCCTCTTTAATTAACCCTTTCTAACGTAATCAGTTGTTTTAAAAACTATGAATGATGATGATAAATTAGTTACTCCTGGGTTTTTCTTGTAGGCTCACTTTTTTTTTCCCCCCTCTATTCCAGATGCAGAATCAGTCACTTCTCCAGAAAGCACTGGCTCCTGTTGTTTGGAAAGGACATTAGAGAACACAGACTCCGTACTCATGGGCTGACACTGCTTTCAGGTATTTATGGTGAACAGAATTCTTGTATTCCTATTCATAATTTCCTTAAATCTCAACTTTATGATTATTTACTGTCACAGCATAAAGCCAATACTTCTTTATATTTTATTTTTTTAAAGAATTTTTAAGTTTATGTATTAATTTTGACAGAGAGAGCGAGCGCGCGCGAGCACAAGCGGGGGAGGGTCAGAGAGAGAGAATCCCAAGCAGACTTTGCAACATCAGTGCAGAGCGGGATGTGGGGCCTGAACTCAAACACTGTGAGGTCATGACCTAAGCTGAGGCGTCCCTATTTATTACTTTTCTTAAAGTTTATTTATTTTGAGAGAGAGGGACAGAGAAAGCTAGCAGGGGAAGGGCAGACAGAGAGGGAGAGAGCATCCTGACTTGGGGCTGGAACTCACAAACCACCTGAGCCAAAAGCAGGAGTTGGAGGCTTATCCCACTGAATCACCCTGGTGCAACTAAAGGAAATACTTTCAAAATAACGATGTTGATAGTACTATCCGTGATATAACACTGAAAATCTGAAATCTTCTCTGTAATTGCTTTGTCCTTGGAATGGCTCCCATTCAGTGGGTAAAATCAAGATACTGCACTGTTTATTGGTAATGCGCAATTTAATAATGGTGTTGCAATGATAGGGTAGTTATTTGGAGAAAGATCAAATTCATTCAGTATCTCAAACTATTATCAGAATAAAGTACAAATGGATAAGAGGTGTAAATGTAAAAAAATAAGTCATAAACATGATAAAAGTATGCACATAATATGGAAATAAGGAGAGATCCTTTCGAACTCTAACTCAAAATCCAGAAGTTGTAAGAGACACCTCACAGTTAAAGTGTTGAAAGCAAAAGTCATGGAGGAAATCCCGAGGCAGGATTTCCTGCCTCATAAGAGACTCATCATATAGGGGCGCCTGAGGTGGTTAAGCGTCTGACTTTCACTTAGGTCATGATCTCGCGGTTTGTGGGTTTGAGCCCCGCGTCGGGCTCTGTGCTGACTGCCAGCTCGGAGCCTGGAGCCTGTTTCAGTCTGTGACTCCCTCTCTCTCTGACCCTCCCCTGCTCAATTTGTCTCTCTCTCTCCTAGAAATAAATAAAACAATTAAAAAAAAAAAAAAAAAGAGACTCATCATATAGAGGGTAACAACAATGTGATCATTAATGCTGGACACTTCATCAGAAATAGTAAAATGAAGGCAGTGGAATAAGATATTCAAAGTATTGAGAGAATAATTTTAAAAGGTCAAACAAAATACTATATCCAGCAAAACTATCATTAAAAAGTTAGGGGGGAATAAAGACATTTCCAAGTGAACAATATGCAAAGAACCTTCAAACTCAGGAAGTAACCAACCCAATTTAAAAAAAAAAAATAGGAGGGGCGTCCGGGTGGTTTAGTTGGTTAAGCGTCCAACTTCACCTCCGGTCATGATCTCGTGGTTCGTGAGTTTGAGCCCCGCATCAGGCTCTGTGCTGACAGCTCAGAGCCTGGAGCCTGCAGCCTGCTTCTGATTCTGTGTCTCCCTCTCCCTCTAAAATAAACATTTAAAAAATAGGAAAAAGACTTGACTAGACATGTCACCAAAGATATATGAATGGCTCATAAGTAAATATGCTCAAGGTCATCAGGCATTAGGAAAATGCAAATCAAAACTATAATGCAATTATTATGCTCTTTACAATGGTTACAATACAAAAGACTAAAAACAGTGTTGCCGAGGCTATGGAGAAACTGGAGCCTTACTTATTTCTGCTCATAATGGAAAATAACAAAGCACCTTCTATTTTTTTTTAAATCTGTATTTTTAAGGGAAATATATTATTTTCTAGGTTATATTGCACATCCTGACTGAAAAAGAAAACAATCTGAATAGCCAGTTTTAATACACAGATTATGGGGCGCCTGGGTGGCTTAGTCGGTTAAGTGTCCGACTTTCACTTAGGTCATGATCTCGCGGTTCGTGGGTTCGAGCCCCGCGTCGGGCTCTGTGCTGACTGCCAGCTCAGAGCCTGGAGCCTGTTTCAGATTCTGTGTCTCCCTCTCTCTCTGACCCTCCCCTGCTCACGCTGTCTCTCTCTCCTAGAAATAAATAAAACACTGAAAAAATTTAAAAAAAAATACACAGATTAAAAGGCATTACAGGTCTCTGAATCTAATAAGGTCTATTTAATTTTAAGCCAAAGTTAGTTCCAATGTGATGTAAGGTCGTTTAAGAAAGAAAAATTAATTTGTTCACATTATTATATTAGGCTACTAAAAAAATCAGAACAAAATGAAACAAGAAAATTTTAACTTGAATCTCCTTTAAATACATAATGTAAAGGTACAAATATGACTTTAGTCATATAAATGTGGCCAGTTAGCAATTAATATTAGTCAAATTCACTTTATTCCATTAATGAAAAAAGATTACATATTAGAGCACTGATAATGCAATACATCAAAATAATATTTATTTTTAAAAGCGTTTTTAATGTTTATTTTTTGAATTTATTTTTATTTTTTTGTTTTTAATATTTATTTTTTGAGAGAGAGAGAGAGAGGCAGACAGATCACGAGTAGGGGAGTGAGGGAAAGGAAGAATCCGAAGCAGGCTGCAGGAAGCAGGCTCCAGACTCTGAGCTGTCAGCAGAGCCAGTAGGGCTGGAACTCAAAACACGAGTTCATAACCTGAGGCAAAGTTGGACGCTTAACTGACAGAGCCACCCAGGCGCCCCTGATGAATATTTTCAATGTATAATTATTAGGAAAGCATGGAGACCCAATCTGAACGATACAATTTATTTAAAAAGAAAAGTTGGGGAAAAAAAAAAACCAAACACTTTTGAAATCAGACTGAAATGAAATTTGAGGATATGAAACAAAATAAAAATTTGAGGAATGGAGTAAAAATGTGCCCTGTGTGGGTAAACCCCTTTCCAGTGGTGCACTGAGGTTGTACACGCACCGCTGAGAAAGAGGACTTTGGCTGCCTCCATTTTGACTTCAAACTTCCTGGCTGGGTTCTTCTTTCCAGCCGGACTCTCAGCTCAGGAGGAAGACTCTGAGGGCAAAGCATCCCCTGCGGGGGACCAGCAACTACCCCGTCAAGCAGTAGGGACTGCCCTGAGCAGGCGAGACCCCACTCAGGATTGGCTCCAAGACAAAGATCTCTTTGACTTTCACTGCCTACCTGTTCTACCCACCCACCTTTGCCCCACATTTTCCTTAGAAGTCTGGAAATATTTTCAGCACTTTGGACAGTCTTTGAGAAGCTACTCCTAACTAGATTCCTTTCGTGTTTCACCACTTCTTTTTGCCTTTGGATTTTGTCGGCAGGAAAGGCCCAACTTGTCTGGAACCCCACCCCTCCAGCTAGGGGCTCTTGCGCCCCAGCTACACCATGGTCGGGATGAGCCCCGGGAGGAAAGAAACACGACACGACATGAGCCGGTCACCTCCGCGGGCGCGCGGGGGGACAACAGCTAGGAGGTCCCCGGGGGAGAGGCAGGTCCCCGCCCCAGGAGCACGCGGTGCTGGGCCGCGGAGGAGGGGGTCTCAGGACGAGGCGAGTGCTGCAGAATGCCAGGCTCAGGCAGGAAACCGGCGACCCGCGCTGCCAGAAAGGGGCAGACAGACACTCGCGAGGCGGGCACCGGGTGGGGGCTTCACACGGCATCGGGTGCGTGAGGAGGGTCGGCGAAGGTACTGAGCAGGAAAACGACGACGCAGGTGGTGTTCACAGGCCACATGCAGACAGGGCGCAGGGATCGGCCTCCGAGCAATTTTAACCGGAAACGGACGCGGATCCCCGCACTCGGATACGCTCCGGCAGTGTTGGGACTCACCACTGCAGGGTCTGGCGGGGGTTGCAGCATTCTAGCGACCCCCGCCCCAGGTGCGGACGTCTGCGCACGGAGCAGCCGCTGGGTTAAAGCCTGAACCGGAAAGACAAACTGTCCCTCAACAGTAGGACACCACTTATCCGGATCCGCTTCCGGGTCTGCCGGAAACTGCGCAACAGCCGTGCAGGGAGGGGTGGGGCGGGGCCTCGCAGGGCGGGGCGGGGCGGGGCTGGGTGTGTACTAGGATGCGGGGACGCGTGAGTGGAGGCGGGGTCTGGGAGTGGGTGGGGATGGCAGCGGGTGGGGGGCGGGGCTGCGGCGAGCGCAGGGCGGGGCTAGGAGCGCGCTGGGGCCCTGAGAGTGGAGGCGGGGTCTAGAAGTGGGCGTGGCCTACAAGCCTTTGCGCCACGCCCCTGGGGCGTTCCTCGATCGGCCGCATCTAATTTGGTCTTTAGAGTCTTGGATCCATTTAGGCTACTTCGTC